CTTATTACCCAGGCTGGAGTGCAATGGCACCATCTCGGCTCACTGCAACCTCCACCTCCTGGGTTCAAGCAATTCTCCTGCCTCAGCCTCCCAAGTAGCTGGGACTACATGTGTGCACCACCACACCCAGCTAATTTTTGTATTTTTAGTAGAGACGGGGCTTCACCATGTTGACCAGGATGGTCTCGATCTCTTGACCTTGTGATCCACCCGCCTCAGCTTCCTAAAGTGCTGGGATTATAGGCGTGAGCCACCACACCTGGCCACGTTTATTGCTTCTTTATGAAAATATCTACCTACAACACGATGTGCTCTTTCTGCTTACCTTCTTCCAAATTTCTTACACTAAAAAGAAGTAGAAAATATAAAAGTAACAATCCATGTCAATAGTTTATAGAAGTAGTTTGCTTTAAAAGCAAGCTAAGCATGTTAGTGCTATTTGCGAAAAATATAGTAGCAATTAGTCTTGAATAAGAGGGATGTTGACCCACCAGCTTCAAAACCAGCTCACCTACAAAAAGATGCATGGGCTGCAGAAGTTTCAAGGCTCACAAAGCACCATAGTTCCTGAGACACAGTTGAAAAACTATTCTGGGGACTGGTGAATGGTAACGAAGAGACTACGAAACCATACTGCCTTTATTCAAATCGCAGCTCTGCCATTTATTCACTATGTGGCCTGGCCAACTTTCTTGGCCTTTCTATGCCTCAATTTCCTCATCTGAAATATGAAAACAGTAATAAGTGTGCCCACCTTACAGAGCTTTTGTGCTATTAATAACTATATGACTTCATGCATATAAAGTACTTAGAACAATGCCTGGCACAGAAAGTATTATTCCTCACTCTGAATTCATGAATTGGACAGGACATCAATGGAAGATGGAGTCCTTAAAATTCAAGAAAGTATGCTTAAGAATTCTTGAAGTAAACTAACCCATGAAGAATATCAGAAGTAAAGACATTTTGCAAAGACGGGGTTAAAAAAAAAAAAAAGTCAAGTTACTGAATAAAACACTAATGCTGATATACTTATATGCTATTAGGTTCAGAACAAACAATTTACAGACATTAATAGATCATGTTAAAACTTGAACCTCAACAAGAGCAAAGGAATAGCTTCATGACAAATGATGAGGATGATGACCAAAATGATGACAGTAGCTAATAACATCTAACTCCAATTAAATGCTTAGCGTACTCCAGACTCCTGAAGACTTTACCTACATTAAACTGGCACAACCCTAGGAGGCGCATATTACTGTTACAAAATAGAGATTCAAAGAGATCAGGAAACTTACAGAAGGTCACACAGCTAGTACCAAAGCCAGGATTCAAACCATCTGTCTGACTGCAAAGCCTATACTCTTAACCTGCAGCACAATCCATACTTAATGATAGATCTTGCAGTTACTTTAAATTTCTAGAGAAACTCCTACTAAAACATTTTTAAAGGTACTCTAGTAACTGAATTAACTGGATGTATTAAACATCCCCTACCCCTAATTCATTCAGAAGCGAACACTGACAATAAGAAGGCATTAAGCTTAGAGCTGGGGATAAAATGAGAAAATTCAATCTCTCCCTTGGTAAGAAGCATCCTCTACAAATTAGCAGAAATCATAAGCTAAATTTAATGAAGCCAGACAAACCTGTGTAGCTTTGTGTTTCAGCTGGTTGCAGAAAGCCCTCACATCAAATTCTGATGACTTTTCTGTGGAGGTGGAAAAATTGTAGATAAAAAAATTTAGGCACACTATTTTCAAATCTACAACAGATTATTAAGTGCATGACATTTCTTGCTAAATTACTACATAAGAAATAAAGCAAACAAAAAAACTAGGAAGCTACTACAGAAATAAAAAAACAACTTTAAGTACTCAAGCTTAGAAGGCATAGGTATTACAATACCTCTCTAAAGATAGTCAATGTGGGTCAAAATTAAGATGTGAGATGTTGAATTTCTTTCCATGCAGTGCAGGACTATACTTTTAACAGGTTTCTTTTTATTTGCTTTTTGTTTTACTAGAGTATGTGCTGTATCAAAGCAAATTACCTTTGAAAACTTTCTTCTTCTTTACTGGCTGTCCAAGATCCTCATTATTCTGTGTATTTATCTTCATTTGTTCATCATTTTTGGAAATTCCAAGTAAGGTTTCTTCAATGGCCTTTGGTGACTGCTCGCTTATTAAAAACAGCTTATTTAGCCATTTAGTTATTCCTCTAGCTGCAAAATCTGTAGGTATTTCTTTCTTAAAGACTTCAAAAAATGGCTGTCCTAAAAATTCAGTGATATCAGAAGGAAAGGTAAAATCTTTGAAGTAAGGCATTGGTTGAATCCTAGAGACTTCTTGAAGCAATCCAAACAAAGTCTCGTAGAACAAAATCAACCTTTTAAAAACACCTTTATAGAGAACCCTAGAGAAAGAAACAGAAGCTAATTAGCCAGTAATTACAATTTGCAGATTACATAAAAAACTTGGAAGATTAAAAGCTGAAAATAAATGGCTATCAAGGTCTTCCAGTATGTATAAAAAACACTATAGTGCACACTTGCAAACAGCCAGATTAGTCCAACCCAACAGAAAAATCCCAAGTATAAAATGTTACTCAAGGCCTGGCACAGTGGCTCACACCTATAATCCTAGCACTATGGGAGGTCAAGGTGGGCAGATTATGAGGTCAGGAGATCAAGACCATCCTGGCCAACATGATGAAAGTCAGTCTCTACTAAAATAAAAAAAAAAAAAAAAAAAAAAAAACACTACCCCATCAAAAAACAGATGAAGGATATAAACAGACACTTCTTAAAAGAAGACATTTGTGTGGCCAATAAACATGAAAAAAAAAAAAAAAAATTAGCTGGGCATGGTGGTGCACGCCTGTAGTCCCAGCTACTGGGGAGGCTGAGGCCGGAGAATCACCTGAACCCAGGAGGTGGAGGTTGCAGTGAGCCAAGATCTTGCCACTGCACTCCAGCCTGGTGACAGAGCAAGACTCTACCTCAAAAACAAAAACAAAGTTACTCAAAAAACCACAGGACAGTCCACCAGGAAAAATATATTTATATTCAAAAACAAAGTACTACATGGAGAAATATACAAAGGACGCATATCAAAGTCTTAAGTGTGGTTTTATCTAGATGGTGAGATTTTAGGCAAACTTCAGGTTCTTTACATTTTTCTTTAATTTCTTAAAATAGGCGTGTATTATTGTAATCAGCAAAAATTAAAGCTAGTTTCATTACAGAAAAGTTTCGAAGGTTTAGCATTTTAAAATAATATGATTTGTAATCAAACACTGTTATCTCTGATTAAGAATAAGGATAAAAAACAAAACGACAGGAAATAGTACTTGAGATATCCAAGTTAAGATATCAAAACAAGGTTTTCAATCTCTAAACACAGAAAAACTTTTTCCCCTCCCAGTGTTTTCTTACATTCAATTAGAGCTAATAATCTTAATTGCTTGAAATGGCCCAAAACAGACAAATTCTAATTATCCATCAGATCAGTTTCACAATATGTACTGAGAGACATGCAGAAGAACATCTCTTTAGTTTGCAAATATTACCAGCGTACATTAACTAAATATGCTTAGAAAAGCAGTGGTGTTTCAGGTAGCACATAAGAAGGTCAAATAATGCATTTATCATTGCCATTAAAAATTAGAAACCAAGTGACAGAAGGAATCAAGTGATATAGCCAGCCCAGGAATAGCATCATTTTAAATGGCCTGTTGTAGTATGACTACTGCCGACAATTATTTATTACTGCAATTCCCAGTCCCAGACATTAGTTTTTTTTAATGCTCAATACAAGTCCACTGATGTTTCACTACAACCTACCATGACCCAGATTTCAATGTCACACCAGTCACTCCCAATTTTTTTAGTTGCCCAGTGTTGGGCTGATCTTGTAGATTGGGATACCAAGCCTACTCCTTTGACATAATCATCAGCACTCAGCTTCCCATCTACCCCCAAAAAACTCTGATCAAATCAAGAAAGAGAATGCCTGCACCTTCTGTAACCCCATAGGAAAGTAAGTTTGGATACTACTAATAAAATACTAGGCTGAAAGGAAATGAGCAAGAAATGAAGGATTTCAGAGGTATGTACATACCATAACCTGCTCACCAGCCCCACTATCACAAGGTTTAAAATAATGAACTCTTGCAAACCTAGATGTTTCACAGTCCAGCTGGAAAATCAATTTAAGGTGGGAAAACAAAACCAAAGTTAATTTGAGTTTTGTAAGTTACAATCATGAAATGAAGAAATATATTGGAAGAGAATTTTCTTAAAGGTATTAAATCCTTAAAGCATGTTCTATTTAAGAATTTTAAACTTTAAAATACAGTAATAAACACTCTGCTAGTGCTCCTATTATTAAATTTAATTCTTAAAGTTTAGTTTCTAAGATTAAGAATTTCTAGCTATCAATGCTTTTAGATAATACAGTGACAGGCAATCTCTGGCAATGGCCACATCAGGCAATTCCTGAGAAAAGAAGGCCAAGAAGCAAAAGCTTAAAAATTCCTACAGGTTATAACTCCTATCAAGTGTTAGCTTTCAAATAAAACTACTGTTAAATATATCCAAACAATTTCAATTCAAAAGAAGGTATATTTTAAGAGATTCAAGGATACAGAAATGTTTTGCAGCAGCAGTCCAATAAGCGAAGCAACAACTTGCAGGCTCCCAAAACCTTCATCAACACCAACTCCACCACTGGCTGACCAGGGACGACACTGGTATTTACAGGCTGATTTTTACTTGACAAAAAAAAA